CTGTATGCGTCACTCTTTGTGAGTGTAGACGTGGTTATAGCTGCGGAAACGAACTTCCTTCCCAAGATCAACACCCACATCCACATCGCACACCCTTATTCAGTTGCACAGACTAATTATCGTGATGTTGGTGAAACTGATGCATTATACTACGGGTATAGTCTATTTGCAGAGTAGTATTGAAAAACTTTGTGACTACAGATGTGAAAGTAATATTTTTCATGACAACTCGGTTCATTTTTGATTCACTTATAGTGAGTAGCATGAAAAATGATTTTGCTAGAGTCATTTTTTACCGATATAAACTCATAAAATAGCACGGTCTTCATGCTAAACACTTTATTACATCTGATAACCAATCATAAAGTCTTCTATGATTGTTTTTAAGTAACTTTTTATGGACAAACGATAAAAGCTTGCAGCGTCTATAATGGCCTTCCTGCTCGACGAGACTTTAACAAGCAGTTTTGCCTATCATCAAGTAAATAAAATACATGCGTAGATTTTCATTGACAATTTTCAGTTATCATCTAAGAGAATAATAAGACTAGATCAAAACGAGTCTTATAGATGATTCTGTACTGATGCACAGCTAGCAAAATTTTAAAACTAATAGTTTCTTTAAAAATCAACAGTTACAAAATTTCGAGTTTTCAAACATAGAACACTGATTTTTGCAAGAAAACTTGTGTTTAGATACGCAAAGGGCTGTGATTTTGTGTTTCATTTACGAGGCACGAATTTTTGAATTTAAACCGACTAACTAGCTTTGAAAAGCTGTTTCGTTTACATCGATATAAAATCATTCATAATATTTATTTTAACTTGTTCTTATTATTTTTCTAGATGACAACTGAAAGTTATCTATGGAACGCAATATGTGTATCCTTTTTTTACTTGATAACAGATAAAATTGCTTTTTTGATACCAACAATAATATTTAACAGTAGTATTTGCTTTTTCTTATCTGTATGAAAAAAACAACTTTGAATGAACTTCTATCACTAACCAAGGAATCAACCCATTTTATTGAACCTAGCAGAAATATTTCATTTTTTTTATCCTAGTAATATTTATGAGTTATCCTGTAATATTTGAATTTACATCTATGATTACGGTTTGATGTGTGTATCATCACCGTTCATCATCGTTCTCATTTATTTCTTATGAATGTGATGAGGAATGATTTCTTTCTCTCCATTCACAGTAAATATCACAATATTTGTTTTTTCAAATAAAATAATATCTACTGTTCACTTTGATAATAAAATGATTTGAATAGAGGAAAAGTCAAAGTTTTACTCAAACCACGATTGATGGCCAAAAATAATGCGATTCTGACGAGCTATACACCATCTCCAAAAATGAATCATTTTTCAAAAAAGAAATTGATCATACCATAAGAGTCTTGGGCAATGCTGAATGAATTTATTATGACCACGAAAAGTTAGCCAGTTATGTAGGGTTAAATTCGATCTAAAATTAAGATTTTTCACCCTCAACATTTCGAACTCAGTTTCTGAACTATGTACATGTAATCGACTACATAAAACTCTCAACGTTTCGATATAAAAATATCACAAAAGAATGTGCTCTACTGACATACTTATATCAAGAATTAGTATGATGCACATGTGAAAATATTTAGGTATTAGAAGACCCAAAAATATGGATCCAGATATAAAACCGAACTTTATAGATCATTTTATCTTCATATCGCGAGTGGTATCTTTTTTTGCATAGAGAACCATTTCAATCGTTTTAAGGTAACGATTTCTTAATATTAGTGTATATGAAATGTGACAGACTAAAATAAAAGTTGTTACTATGAGAAACTTCAAGAGTTATATGAGTTTCAGGTTGTATATCCTCGTGGAACTGTAATAAAAAAACTTTTCTCGAAAGAACTAAGTAGTTCGTTAATTGTTACATTAAATTACATATCTCAATACTTGATCATCAAAATTGAAACTAGTTTTCGTTATTAAATACTCTAGTATAATGATCTTGAATATATACTGGTTTCAAATATTTGACAAACCATTTTTTAATGATTTATCTTTTTATTCAGTTTATTATGAAGTTAATTGCTGTTCATTATTTTGCCAAAGCTTTTGATGAAAGTGTTCATTGAAGTAAAAGAAAATAACCAAAAATAAAACTGCTTATCATCTTTCGTCAGATTGTTATTGGAAAACGAATAATTCATCCTAATATAGAAGAATTAACAAAGAAAGATAGTCTTGGTAGACACTTAACATATTTCTTTTGATACAGTTATTTTCTGATTATTATGACCGTTTTCAACCACAAATAGTGAAATTATCGCAATTGTTGGTGAATACTTTTTTGCAGTTTGGTATATTCAATGTGAAAAGAAAACATGTTAAACATGATATTCGATTATTCTAATGACCGAGATGTTTATAAATAAGATTGAAGAATACTAAAAGTATCTTTCAAGAACCAATAGAACTCAATAGAACATGCTAGACAGAATAAAAGAAAAAAAGATAGGTATGAAAATGATCAAACAAGATGACGATGTTTTAAACATAACATGGACGGTGATATCTTTTTAATTTCCTTTATTTGAAAATAATACTTTCTAAATATTATAGAGTGTATTAAACAGATTAATTTATCCTAGAACATATTTAATATAGTAATTATTTCTTGTACACAATATACCATTGGATGACTTATGCAGATATTTTTCAGAGAAAAAGTCATAATACATTCTGTAACTGATGTAATATCCATTTCTCATTTAGACTGTAAAACATGTGTACCTTGAAAAAGATGTGAGAAAAAACAAATGCAATAATTTTTTGTTGTTTTTTCTTCAGAAATCTTGTAAGAGTATGTCTTTGATGGAAAAAGACCTAATATGATAGTTTTCAAGTCGTTATTTAAAAGTAATCTTATAGAAAAAAAAAAGATTAGAATTCTTGGAATGTTGTTTTCATGATTTCTGAATTTCCTCTCACTTAAACTTTTCACAACTGAAATGAATACTATTCTGCATGTCATTAGATTATCATCTAGAAGATACAGTATTCATCTTGAGCAACAAGCTACAAATTCTTGAAGCAGATTCATTTCAGAACATGATTCATTATTGATATATATATAGTTTATAGCAATAAACAATCAAAAATAATACAAGTCAATAAGAGAATTACGTTTTATTCAAATCAAAAGAGTCTACTGTTTAATACAACCTAACTTAGACTTGAAAAAAACCCTTATAAATTGAAGACATGAAAGATCAAGGCGCACTTTTTTGATGATATGTCAGAAGTTCTTTTGGAATTGATCTTAGAAATTGAAAGAAGAAAATGACTTGTACTGAAGAAAACCAGTTAAAAATTCGTGAAAAAACAATAAAAAAAATATCTAATCGAAATTTCAATTGATTATTTTGATTGTTTGTGTAGGAAAGAATAATCAGATCTAGCTGAAAATTTTTAGGAATACTAAACTCACTATTGTTCATTTCAAAATAGATTGTGCTTCACTAGTCTTTTGAATAATTCGAGAACGCAATTAGCTAGAGACCTACATTTTTCACCAATGGAAAAAGGAGACTGGGGTGCGTCTTTTCCGCCGATAATGTATAAGAGGAAATCCTTTTAAAAATAATTATTTTCGAAAAGCATATAAAAAAAAGTCATGAAAATGACCTGCCATGTCGATAAAATTTTGATTTTGCCGTTTTATTTGGATAGAGGGATTTCAAATCTATAGTTCAAGATACAATGCAAATTGCTTCTCTTATAACATTCTAACGTTATGTAAACTGAATCATGTATTTACATAAGCAAATAATAGGAATTTTTGCTAATTTTTTACTAATTTTTTTCATTTTTTAACATAGTACCTTGACATTTCGATGGAAATGTAATGAAAAGTAAGAAAGCGCATTATATCTTGAACTATAGATTTGAAATCCCTCTATCCAAATCAAAGGTCAAAATCAAAATTTTATTGACATGGCAGGTCATTTTCATATCTTCTTTTATATGTTTTTCGAAAATAATTATTTTTAACAGGATTTCCTCTTATACATTAGCGAAGGAAAAGACATGCCCGGATCTCCTCTTTCGATTGATGAAAATCGCAGATCTCTAGTTACTTGTTTTCTTGAATTATTCAAAAAATAGTGAAGCACATTCTATAATGATATGGACAATACACTATAAATAATAAAAAAACATCAACGAATTCTAAAATGTCAATTGATCATCGATGTTCCTAAGTGACTTATATTATCTCTGAAACTTATTCTTAAGTTGCTCATAGAAACGTTAAAAATACATAAAAAAGACTCTATTGAATTGACTCTTCTCAATCTGGAGTACACAAGCATGTTTTGGCCTTGACATTAAATACCATGCTCGTTTTTTCTGTTATTATTTATTTCTTGCCGTTCTGTTCTTCTTCTTACACGACGGTTGATAATAAGAAACATGTCGTTGTTGAGGCTGCAGAAAAGATTACACTATCACATGTAAAAACGGTCGAGAATGAATAAAAACAAATAAATAGCAAACATCATCAAACGCACATCGTATATTGCAACTAACAAACTCTACGCAAGCAAGCATTACTTTTATAATCGTTCAAACGACGCATAAAATCGGTATTGAGTTTTTCAAGTTGTGACAAAGATGACAATACTATCAAAAATCGTTCCTATTGGCTGGCTTGCTCATATCGGTGCATCCTTCTATCTAGTTCGACCACTTCGCACTTTTTCATGTCGAGCTCTGTTGACGATGGTACCTTGCGCGATGTTGACATTCATCGGTTGCAGCAATCTTCCTCTTCTTCATATGTCGTCGATGATGATAGTTGTATTCTATTGGATGATGACAATTCGTCTGCTTCATTTGGTTGTACTTTCACCCAAGCAGACTCTCTCATTTCGATCATTTGTTGGCAAACTTCTCTGGTTTTTTTTTCCTGTCATAGAATGTAAATCGACTTATTCTGTCATGTTTGATCTTTTCTCAGCGCTTGTCAAGCTTGTATTAAATAATTGGATTTTTCTATGGTTTATTAATTGTGGACCAAGTGACACTTATGTCAAAATGGCCATGTTCTACGTATTTCTTTGTACAGGAACGTACGTCGTCGATGCACAAATTGTGCTTGTTCGACTCATTACACGTAATAAATACACTCTTGAATCATTCAATAATTTTCCGATTCTATCACGATCTCTTCGAGAATTTTGGGGTCGACGTTACAATCGAGTTGTTGGTTCAGTTCTTAGAGAGTCCATTTTCGAACCACTTCGTAGCTTATTCTCCTTGTCATCGACAAGCGCTGCTCTAGCTAGTTTTCTAGTTAGCGGTCTGCTTCACGCACATGTGTCTATTGTTGTCTTCGGTGCATCATCTCCATTGCCTGCATTTACATTCTTTTTATTACATGGTATTGCCTGCTGTGCAGAAGCGTATTGTCCGATTGTTTTGCCCAAACCCATTGGTATTATAGTGACACATACGTTTCTTCTTCTGACAGCTCCGCTCTACGTTGGACTGTTTACACGTGCTGGGCCTGATTTCTTTGTACCTAATGCGCCTTCACTACTTAATGCAAAATGGTTACCTCAATTACCAGTGCCGAATTTTTGTCCAAAATAAGCAACAATCGAGAAGTAAACAGTACCACCTAATAGAACTTTTCTTAGTATAATAAAATAATTGCTCCTTTTTACTTTTGTCATGGCATTAAACTCTTGGAAATCCAAGATCAACCTACTTATTATAAGACAGCTTATTGTTGATATAGTTAGAAATTAAAAAAGTAACAGTCACAAATAGGATACACAAGTAATTCTACTTGAAGAAGATCGGGTTATAGTATATTATCTGCCGATGACTACTTATATACACTCGTTATATTCGAATTCTCTAATTGAGACTAGTTTTTTACTAGATACATGGCTTATTCAGTCCATTGTTGGATTTTATTTTGATTCAGAACTTTTACAAGGCCGTACATCCAAACCAATGAACACTCCTCATGGCAAGTCTTTATTATCATGCACAAATGACGCCTACGAGTCATGTGAAATCGTCATGGTGGATACTTGTTGGATAATTCATCTTTTTTTTCTGTAGTTCTCACATTTCTTGTGATTTGCAGAATGTTCGTCAGAACAACTTGCCTTCTGTTCATTGAATGTTACACTGAATTTGTTTTCCTCACCGAGCATCGAACTCTGATCATTACTATGTTCGTCTGCTGTTCCTCAATCATTAGTTGAGCTCAAGAATAAATAACTATGTGTAGTCGATACCCAAAGAAGGAGGTTGTAGGTGTCGAAGAGAACATAATACTCACACTAGCACCCACAAGCAACCGTGATTGATTTCAAGTGACTGAAATATATCTGAGAACTTAGCAGTCTTCTTTCAGTAAATTTTCACTCTCAGAGTTCTCAAAGTTTCACTGAATATTGAATAAAACAATTTCTGAATACTCGAACTTCGATGGCTATTCAGGAGGTCGATATTGGAACAGGGTTAAATAAAGTAAGTATATATCTCAGATTTTTTCCACCAGTCATTACGGCCATAATATGTTTTTTTAAAGTCTACTTGATCACATATGACGTTATATAAGCGTAGGAAATTCTTCTAGGTGCACATTTATGCGCATAAGTAGGCTCAACACTCAAAACATTTCAGTTGCAGATTAATGCTGGTGAAAAAGAGTATTTTGGTCCGATTTATTTTCGACACAACTTGATAAGTTTTATTATAATGAAAGATCAACAGCATATTTTTCAATTTTAGATAAGTTTTTACGTATTTTTTTTGTTTTTGATCACTTAATCTCTTTGTTTTTGAACAATGTTTTTCCGTAGTGAAAATATTACTAACGAGAGCTCTTTTTGAATAAATTATGTTGTTCAAAAAGAAATATATCATTTAGAAATGTAACCGATATTGTAAAACGATTGCTTCAATTAAGATGCATCTCTTAAGAATAGATTTAGGAGAATAATGTTTCTGCATTGAAAATTAAGCATTATTTCCATGGACCAGTCAATTAAATAGAATATATAGATATTTTAAGTTTGGTGTAAAACTCAGATGAATCTAATAAGTATCGGTCGCTAAACATTCAATTTTTCACAACATTTATTGTTCTGCAAATAAGCTTGGGGATAAGAGATGTGAGTACGGGTATGGATATTGGTAATGAGAAAACTTATACCCACACCCATACTTTCGAATTACCCCAGCGATTGCATCGCTAGTCATCTCTTCATGCTCGACTTGATTCATTTTGACTAGTGTCACAACAACTTGCTTTTTTTTTTCTGTCTCTTCCTTAGTGCTTTAGTTGTACGTGCCACTTCATTTTCTGTGGGCCCGCAAACTTTAAATAGCTTTTGTTAAACCCGCTGAGACTGATCTCTCATTGGAATCATTTGCTAACTGAGCATTGCGACACATGTTGTTGTCACATTAGTATGTAGTGAGTCAGAATGTAATTTTACGTTCTTTATCTCGAAAGTATTCAGTCATTGATATGCGTATGACGCATGAACATAGACCTGTTACTGACAAAAAAAAAAGACGAAAAAATTGTCAGTATTATGGTTGTATGAACACATGTTAACGTTGATAATTAACGTAGAGAAAGAAATAGTTAACTAGTCGCTGTGAAGCAGTTACGCATGATCACTCTAAAAAGAGATGGAACACACACACTGCTTGTTTATGTTAAGTTAAAGTGCTCTCGTTTAGAAGGAAAAAACGAACAAACTATCTTGATTTCGGTTAATAATCAGGTCTGATATATGAAAGAGAGAAATCATGTTGTTTTATTTTCTGTTTATATGGTTCTCAGTGAGAAAAACCTGCGGCAGACTGATAAAATAATAGTGAATTTGTAGTGTTGGATTAATACTTTTAATGTAAAAGAAATGGATGTCTTTGACTGTGACTGTTTTCATCGATAATTCGGCGGCAAAATATTCACAATGTACTAGTAGAAAGAAGGCGGAGCTCAGCATCATCAATAACAAGAAAACTTGTCACTTTGCGTCAAAATACATGATTAACATTTGTGTAGTAGAATGTTGATATCACCTGATGCTCATCAAATCGTCAACAAACGTTTCACCGAACAAAACTACGATTCCTTTCTATCATATATCACTTTTGTATCGTTTTTCTTCAAAGCTTTAGTACAAATAGAACAACCGTTCGAGAAATTAGCAAATATATGTCTCAGTTCGAAAATATTCGATGGATGTAACGACGAAAGAAGGTCTCAATATGAATCGATTATTCTGCTCACAAGAACGTATTTTGGATGTCTAAATTTAAATAAGCGACGATCCTATTAAGCATCACTATGTCGACAGAATAACTAATATTGTTTAGTGTATCATACATCCAACGTTTGCTATTGCATCCCCTCGTAACTAGACACGAAATGAAAACTGTGATTCATAGTTCTTTCTCTCTTTCGTTCTAAATGAGAGATTGAAGAAAAATGTTTTTTTTTTTATATTTTAGGCTGCCAAATCGTGCTGTTGCTGTACTATTAAAGTAAAAGAGGAACAGAAATGATATTTTTTCTCTCTTGTAATCACGCTACTCCTGTTTCGTTTGGATTGATACAGCCATTTGGCGTATAAAAGTGAGCGTCTTTCATACTTTGTTTGCATTTTCGGTTTTGTTTCACATAACTAGCTAGTATCAACCACAAGCAAAATTGTGCTCTGAAACCAAATATTCATACCATCTTATTCAAGTAGTCAGAAAATATGGGACAAACATCGGTAAAAAAAACGTAATCCAGACTCAAAACTAGCCGAATTAGTGCGTGTTCTATTTATTAAAGCAAGCTTTGCTCTACAATATAGATAGATCACAACGCTAGTACTTGATCTACTGATGCATAGAGAGCCACAATGTGAAACCTCACGTGATAAATTAAGGTGATAATTGTTGGTATGCTATTGAGATTCTCTTGTTCCTCTATAGATTCATAAATTTCGTTTACATGCCGAAGAGAGCAGTCAAAAAAAATATATAGAACAAGAAAATAGAATAGAAACATTTCAGTCATCTCTTCTATAAATTATGCTAAATCTTATACACATATCAAGACATTATATAAGATTTTAGTAAAATTACAAACTGTTTTTGCAGTTTATTGATTATTTCTCTTTGTTGTTTACATTAATAGGGTTCAATCATGTCGAGAAGAAAAGAGTGACCAGAATTGGTAGGAGGGTGTGGGTGAGGGTGTGGGGTGTGTGGGTGTGGGTGGGTGTGGGCTGTTGCTGCGGTCTTGTGTTAGTCGAAGCCCACACCCACACCCACATCCACACACACACACACCCCACACTCACACATACCCACACCTCCCACCCACACCCACACCTCACACCCACACCTACCTTTGACCCTTAACCTTTGACCCTTAACCTTTGACCTTTGACTCGGTAGCAGACAAATGCTGGATATATGTGTTTCGCTCGGAATGGCTCGGAATGCCCGAATGAGATTTTTCCCCCTTGCCATATCCACACCTCACCCACCCACACCCACATCGTCATGATGCGACAGCGATGCAAGAGGGTTAGCTTTTCGTTGCAGTACAGAAGGGGTGCGAGAGCTTTTTCTTTCCATGATCGCGGTCCGCCAGTAGAAGACTGAGTTGCGATGGACATTTCTGATTTTAAATTCGATAATAATTTTTATAATTGATTGAAATCTTAATCCAATCAAATCTGATTGAGGATTCTTATTTGAATATAATTGATGATTTATCATTAAACCAGATTTTAATTAGACGATTGGATTATTTTTATCGATTTAAATCGCGGTGACTATAAAACGTGTTTTTTATGAGTTTTTACTTTAAAACTTTCGTTTTTGATTATTTTTTCGAATTCCTTGCCTCCATAACTGATAAATATAAAACTAGATCAACCATTCACATTCATACCACACTTTCAGATACAGTACTAACTGATACTTGCTCATGTAAGTGAAAATTCCTATTAAGTGGATTAAAATCGATTAAAGTTGGAGTTTTTAGTCAACTGTAATTGATTAATAATCAATTATAATCAAAATCATAAATCGAATTATTCTGGAACAGAATCATCATTTTAATTAATTACAATCTGTTTGTTTTGAAAATTATATCTAAACGATAATCGATGATAATTAGATTATAACGAATTATCATCTAATGAAAATTTGCTACAAAATTCGATTTTAATAGATTAAAATATTGTTTTTATTGCAGCATAATTGGATTTATTATTTTGACTATTCTTATAGGGATTTGAAATTTCAGTCAGGTTTAATCAACAATATTTGTCATCTGGTGAAATAATCAAGGTAGTCTCACACTATATTTAAACACTTGTTCTAATGAGAACGAAATGACGTATCAATGCAATCTAACCTTTAAATTTGGTTTTTAAGTTTCTTTGTTGATTATTACGATTGACAAGATGAAAAGATATTTTAACATAGACAGAAAGGATATACCTTATTCATTTCAAAATGATTTGGTCTACCTTAATAAAAGATAAAATGTATAACAAATGTCATTTTTGATTATTTATTATTCAAAAACAACAAACTGTTGCTTACAATGA